CCTTTCCTTTCATTGTCACCACTGACGCGAGCTAGTATGGTATAGGTGTTGTATTACAGCAAGACGATGGCAATGGATATAGAACGTAGAGTTCATGTCTGGTAGGATGCCTTCAGAGAAGGTAGCGACATCTACCTACGAGAAGGAACTTTACGCTCTCAGGCAAGCATTAGAGCACTTGAAGCACTACTTGCTTGGGAGGCACTTCAAAGTCTATTTAGACCACGAGACATTAAGGTGGTTGAAGACTCAGGCCAAGATGACACCTAAGCTGACTACATGGGCCACAGAGCTAGACCAATATGATTTTGAGCTCAAGCCCGTCAAAGGGAAGTATAATGTAGTTGCGGACGCTCTGAGTAGAAGAGCTGATTACTTTGGAGCGATAGTTCATTATCTGGATATAGGGAGAGACCTGGAACAGAAAGTTAGAGAGGCGTATGCGCAGGACCCTATCTATAGTGACCTCCTCAAGAGAGTAAAGGAGGCCCCAGAGTCAGAACCAGACTACCGCACTACTGATGGGCTACTATTCGAGAAGACTAACGTAGTTCACCGATTGTGCGTTCCTAACAGTGAAGAGATCCGTAGTTTTGTCCTAGGGGAATGCCACGATACCGAGGGACATTTAAGTTGGCAAAAGACTCTAGCTAACCTCATGCGCGCGTACATATGGCCTGGGATGAAGGCCGACTGCATAGAGTATGTTCGCAGTTGTAAGGTCTGCCAGAGAAATAAGACTACTCGTGCCCCTCTAGGTCTTCTCGGACCCTTGCCTATTCCTGATCAGCCAGGAGATTAAGTGTCCATTGACTTTATGGACACCCATGTCAAGAGTAGGCACGGTAAAAGCTAAGTCATGGTAATAGTTGACAGGTTTAGTAAGTATGTTGTTTTTGTTCCTTTGCCCTCAGAGGCACGCACAAAATTAATTATTCAAAAGTTATTCGATCATTGGGTCAGTGAACACGGGATTCCACTGTCTATAGTTAGTGATAGAGACACCCGGTTCACTAGTCAGAACCGGCAGGAGTTGATGAGAGTCTATGGCTCCAAGTTGTTGATGTCATCTGGCCGTCATTCAAAGACTAACGGTCAGACTGAACAGATGAATAAGATTCTGCAACAAGTTATGCGTATGTACATTAGACCGGATCAGATCAATTGGGATGAGATGTTGCCCAAAGTAGCCAGTGCGTACAATAACAGCGTGCACTTGTCTACCTGTCGCACTCCCAACGAGTTACACAAGTCCTTTAGACCACGTAGACCGTTTGAGGGACTTAACCGGGACCAGATTCACAGGCTACCGCCCGATACTAGGGAGTTTGTGTTACAGCACGAGAAAGAGTTAGCTACCGTGGTAGAGAACCTCAGGAAAGCCCAACACCAAATGATAGAACAAGCTAATAAGCACCGTCGCCCGTCACAATTTCAAGTAGGCGACCTAGTCTAGGTCAAGTCCAAAGAGTTTGCTCTTGAGGAAAACATCTCGCAGAAGTTAGTGCCCGCGTATAGAGGACCGTGGCCAGTTCTAGAAGTTAAGGGCGGAGAGGATAGGTCGTCCTACACAGTAGAGATCCCAGCACACCTCCACACCTACCCTGTGTTTCATGCCTCAAAGTTGTTGCCGTGTGTCACAAGTCAACAGTTTCCATCTAGAAGATCCATGATTCCTCCAGACATGGACATTGACGGCATTGTAGGTGAAGACGTGTTCAGAACAGGAGGTAGAGGTCGTCCGCAGAAGCAATACAAGGTTCGGTTTGCTTATCAGGAACCAGAGGACGACCGCTGGTTTACTAGAACAGAACTTCTAGAAACAGCTCCCGATGTAGTTAGAGCCTACGAGAGAGATAAGAAAGGTAAAGGTCCTGCCTTGGAGTGAGTTATTCTCGGAGGACCTCGAATTTAGGCCGGCGGGAGTGAAACGGTTTTCACCTTTTAGCAGTAGCGAATGCAGATCCCAAGGCTCGATCCCTAGTTCTCACCTTACCTGTGTATAGTATTTGTGTCGACCCCGAGTGTTTGAACCCGTGACCTGTGTTTTGACAGTTGTTATTGTCTTTCGTAGGTTTGTGTAGTGGTAGGGGTTCGATCTGTAGGTCTGTCGAGTAGGAGTCACAGCCCTGTAGAGGTCGTAGCTGCAGGGATCCTGAAAGGTCAAGGTCGTAGCTGCTACAGTCCTGAGAGGTCAAGGTCGAAGGTGCTAGGTCGTAGCTGCTACAATACCCGAAAGGCCAAGTCTACAGACTTCCGGAAGGTCCCGGAAATGGCCTTTCGAAGTGGGCTCAAGTTAGGCAGAGGCAAGTGGGCAAGTGGTGGAGCCAACCTCAGTACGTTGGCAGTGCGACTGCAGTGAGTCTGCGGTGCAAACCCATGCAGTATTTTCAAAAGTTTCAAAGAAGAAAATATTTTTGGAAAAGAAATGTTAAAAAAAAAAAAGTATTTTCGAATGAATTCTCATAAAAATAATAATCAATAAATAGAGCAATAAATTAGTATTGAGGTAAATCGAGGGCGAAGCGATCTTATCTACGATTGATTGGGTGGTAGCATGGTAGGTAAATTAAAAAAAGGGGGTTGCACGGGTAGATTGATGATGATGATGATGATGATGATGATGATGATGATGATGATGGTGATGATGATGAGGAGAGGGAGGAGGAGGAGGAGGAGGAGGAGGAGGAGGAAGAGCAGGATGATGA